CCGTCGTTGTTTGGTGGGCCCAGGCTGGATTCGAACCCACCACCTTAGGTGTATGTGGCTGGCGCCTTAGCCACTTGAGCCACATTTGCCGAACCCGCATTTCTAAATAACAGCTTCAGTGTCGATACCTGAAAAATATTCTTTTTTTTTCTTTTTTTTTTTTTTTTTGATACAGTTTCAAGCTGTCACCCTGGATAGAGTGCCATAGCGTCACAGCTCACAGCAATCTCCAGCTCTTGGGCTTAAGCGATTCTCTTGCCTCTGCCTCCCAAGTAGCTGGGACTACAGGTGCCAGCCACAACGCCGGCTATTTTTTGGTTATAGTTGTCATCATTTGGCAGGCCCGGGCTGCATTCGAACCTGCCAGCTCTGGTGTATGTGGCTGGCGCCTTAGCCACTTGAGCTACAGGCTTCAATCCTCTGAAAAATAGTCTATTCACTGGGTAGAGTTATTGAGCTAGAGAGTCATTAGCTGTCTTTCTCCAATTGTTTTTTCCTTCTGGTTGAGTACCTGGTTTGTTTCCCTAGTCTTCCTTTCCCTTGATTCTTCTGTCTCCTTGTGGGAGAACTGTATGAAGAGAATTACTTTGCAGTTTTACTTTTCCTTTAATAAGTTTACTGATTTGGAATGAGACAATAAGTTTCAACATTTCTGGTAAATGGAATAGAGTATTTATTAAAATATAAAGAAACTCTGAAAATTCATGTTTAAATTCAAAAGTGATTTCGGGAAATGTTCTTTGGAAAGCTGATAGATTGGTAATGGAGTGCCAGGAACATTATAAGGGATATTTTCTGCAATTTAAAAAGGCACTGATCTCTAGGGAGATTTGTGAAGGGAAGGAGGTTTCTGGGCTGCTTGGTAAAGTGTAAGTCATTAGATAGGAATCAGCATATCTGTGCTCCTACCTATGTGATCCCGCATAAGTCATTGACCATTCAAAGCCTCAGTTTTCTCATTTGTAAAGTCAGACAGGTGTTCGTTCCACCTCTAAACAGTTATTTTCTTCTAGTACAATTTTGTAAGTAAAAATGGGAAATTGATTTGTGTATCATCTAAGATCCTGATAATATCATTCATAAGGCCTTCTTTATTGATCTAACATTGTACTTTACAGTTATTCTGAAGTTTTGAGGTAATTTATTCCAAAGACAGGAGCATATTAGAAGAAATAAAGTACCCATACAATAATTCAGAGGTATAGAGCTCTTTGTTGATACCTTTTTCTATTTTTTCTTTTGCAGTGTCCTGCTATAGACTATACTAGACACACACTTGATGGTGCTGCATGTCTTCTGAATAGCAATAAATATTTTCCCAGCAGGTAAACAAAACTTTTAAAAACATGGTGTTAAGCTTTTTAGATGTCATTTAAAAGACTGTTTTTATTTGTTTGAGCAAATAGCTCAGACTGTAAAAAACAGATATTTTAAAACTAAAATTAAGGGCACCTATAATCCCAGATACTCAGGAAGCTGAGGCAAGAGGATCACTTGAGCCCAACAGTTTGAGGTTGCTGTGAGCTATGACACCACAGCACTCTACCAGGGGCCACAGAGTGAGAATCTGTTTCAAAATAAATAAACTAAAATTAAGCTACTGATTAATATATTCTTTAATTTTTTTTTTCTTTTCAGCTGGATATGTATTTAGCTTATTCACGTTATTAGGGTTGTGGTTAAACTTGGTTCCTAAAGCTCACAGGCCAGTTCCATTTAAGGTTAGTCCTGCTATTGTGTCGTTCTGCAGGGCTTTCCCTTTTCTGTTCAGAGTTTGATATTTACATGATTGCTCACTTGAATCTCCATGATAGTCAGATTCAGTCTCCTTTTAGATAGCATGCATAAAGGGTAGACTTTCCTAAGTTAGACCACATTTTTTGTTTGTTGTTTAAACTGCTTGTTTTTGAAGGATTTCTTATCTTTTATGATAGACTTTTAAGATCTAGGAAGAAGGCTCAGTGCCTGTGGCTCAAGTGGCTAAGGCGCCAGCCACATACACCTAAGGTGGCAGGTTCGAATCCAGCACAGCCCACCAAAACAACAATGATGGCTGCAACCAAAAAATAGCTGGGCGTTGTGGCGGGCGCCTGTGATCCCAGCTACTTGGGAGGCGGGGCCAGGAGACCTGCTTGAGCCCAGGAGTTGGAGATTGCTGTGAGCTGTGATGCCACAGCACTCTACCCAGGGGGACAACTTGAGACTCTGTTTAAAAAAAAAAAAAAAGATCTTGGAAGAAGCCGTACATGTATTATTGATAAAGTTTGTGACTGGACTTTCATTCTATAAGATGTTTGTTACCACGTCAATGGATTTGGAAATGTTTTTCCCAAATATGATTAGCTCCAAAGGACCCATATAAAGTGTTCTTTTTTTTTTTTTGAGACAGAGCCTCAAGCTGTCCCCCTGGGCAGAGTGCCGTGGCATTACAGCTCACAGCAACCTCCAACTCCTGGGCTCAAGCGAGTCTCCTGCCTCCGCCTCCCAAGTAGCTGGGACCACAGGCGCCCGCCACAACGCCCGGCCATTTTTTGGTTGCAGCCGTCATTGTTGTTTGGCGGGTCCGGGCTGGGGATTCGAACCCGCCACCTTAGGTGTACGTGGCTGGCGCCTTAGCCGGTTGAGCTATAGGCGCCGAGCCTAAAGTGTTCTTAAAAATTGGTTTTTGCCTCAGTATTTTATATGTACACATTTTTAAAAAGAATGCAATTTTATTTCTAAAAAAATCTAGTTCTGTAGAATAAAACATTTATTCCTCTCAGCAGTTTTTTTTTTTTTTTTTCAGTTTTTGGCTGGGGTCGGGTTTGAACCCACCACCTATGGCATATGGGGTCAGTGCCCTACTCCTTTGAGCCACAGGTGCTGCCCTCCTCTCAGCAGTTTTAATCACCTCTTGTAGACAAAGTATTAATGTTGTAAATGTATATTTTAATAAATTTTGATTGGAATTAATTTTAATCACATTAAACTTTAAGAAGCTAGTTCAGAGGCTCTTACCTGTGATTCCAGCTACTTGGGAGCTAAGAAGGATTGCTTGATGTGCTACTGCACTATAGTCTTGGTGACAGAGCAAGACCCCATCTCTTTAAACAAACAAAAAAAATTAACAAAGTTTTAAAACTTTAATGCTTGACTGGTCATGGTGGCCCACTTCTCTAATGCTGGCACTTTGGGAGGTCAAGACAGGAAGATCTCTTGAGGTCAGAAGTTTGAAACCAGGCTGAGCAACAGAGACACTGAATCTACAAAAAAAAAAAAATTTAGCTGGGTATGGTGGCCTGCCTATAGTCCTAGCTGAAGATTGCCTGAGCCCAGGAGTTAGAGGTTGCAGTCAGCTGTGATTGTGCCAGTCTATTCCAGTGTAAGCAACAGAGTGAGACTCTGTCTCAAAAAACAAAACCAATGACAACAACAACAAAAAAATAAAACCCGTAATGCTGAGTTTAACATCATCACTGTGGTTAGGTTGAAAGAACACTGGCCTGGGAACAAGGGGCTTACCAGCACTGTGATCTTGGGCCAGTCACTTAGGAAATCCAGAGGTGTTAATTTCCACACTTGTGAATTAAATCTATTGTACTTAAGAATCTATCTGGTTCTTTGAATCTATGGTTTCTTTTCTAATTTTAGGGTTAGCATAAAGGAATCATCTGTAGCAAAACTAGGATCAGTATGCCGTAGGATTTACAGAATATTTTCACATGCTTATTTTCATCACCGGCAGATATTTGATGAATATGAAGTAAGTATATTTTGCTAATTATCTTGGCATAGTCTTATCAGAATAACAATAATATATATTGATATTATTTTTAATTTGGGATAATTAAATAACATTTTTTCTTCCTTTCTACAGAATGAAACATTTTTGTGTCATCGGTTTACTAAATTTGTGATGAAATATAATTTGATGTCCAAGGATAACCTGATTGTACCAATTTTAGAAGAGGAAGTTCAGAATTCAGTTTCTGGGGAAAGCGAAGCATGAAGGGAATCATATAGAAAAATGTACTGATCACATAATTAACATTAATTATGTACTGTATATATATCATTTTAGACACATCAATCATGTATTCATATTATAGCTTCTTTGTTTAGTGTAGGTTTTGTATGCTATGTTTGCCTTTTAAAATGGGAAATACTTTTTAAGTTATTCATAAGCTGTATATTCACTGGTGTGGCACTCATGGTTTTTAAATAAGATTAGTATTATCTGTTTATAATGCCTGTTAATAAAAGAATTTACAGTTTGGTAAAATTGCTGCTAAACAATCATTGGATCACAATCCTCATCAAATAAACCCATGTGTAAAAAGGTGAGTGAGCTTGAGGTTTCACAGAAGTCATTTACTAACGAGGTAGTAATGTTTTCCTTTGGTTTTACCCTGAGTTTAGATGTTCCAAGAAATTCTATAGTACATAGTTCCATCATAACTGTTCATGTGCCCAAAATGAGATAAAAGTGTTTTAAAAATCTGTTCATTGTTTTTGGTATACATAGATGATTATATGTGTACCAAAATGTAAAATGCAAATGAAGCATTAGAATACTTAATCTTACTATGCTACATAAAGTATACTGTAGACCAGCATACTTGGATTCATCTTTCTGCAACAGTGAACTGTTGCATACAAGATGATAAGGCACGTAAGTGATGTTCCCACTGGAAACTTTCCCTTTTCTGCCTTTCTCATTACCCTTAACCCTCTCAAACTAAGTTAGCTGAGAAGCTTTTCACCAGACTGTGATTTAGTGGTGGCTTATATCTATTTATACTTGTATTAATTGCTTAAAGAGTATACCTCGTATTAGCAATTATATTACACTACAGGAAAAATATATTGGCATAGGCTCTTGCTTATCTTTGTTTTGCAAAATTGTTCTAACTTCTTAGAAAATAGTCCTTAAAATAGTTTGACTCTTCCTGCTAGTAATATTAATCTAACCATCTAGGCAGCATTAGAGTTGAAGAAATATTATTGTATTTATTTTACACCCTTTCCCCACAAAGTTTATGTTTGAATTATATGCACATGTGATATTATTTACAGTAATTCGCGGGTTCCAAGGGTATTAATGAATGTTCATACATTACTTTGGACTTTGTTATAATTCAGTGTTTTAAGAAGGATTCAAGTAGGAATTTAACAATCTTATAATCTATTGAATGCAGTTTTTGATAAAGCACTGGAAGTCTTATTGCCAAATTGTAACAAGGCACTAAGATGGTCTGAAAAATTGTATATACCTTGAAGAAAATATTTAAATCCGTCTCTTGACTAGATTGAACAAACATGAAGAATTTCTTTTTTCATTTATAAGGGGTTATTTTGAAGATGAAAATGTATTCATCTTATTTTTCAAATTTGAGGGAGTGATTTATACCATATTATGAGACAAGTATGTATAGAAAAAATGTGGGACGTAGGCTCGGTCCTACCCATTCACCTCCCACCCCTCACCACCACCTTACCAACCCTCCCCTCCTAGCACAGTGTTTATAGTGCCAGCCACATAACACTGAGACTGGTGGGTTCAGACACAGCCTGGGCCTGCTAAACAACAATGACAACTGCAACAAAAAAAATAGCTGGGCTTTGTCCCTGTAGTCCCAGCTACTTGGGAGTCTGAGGCAAGAGAATCGCTTGAGCCCAGGAGTCTGAGGTTGCTGTGAGTGGTGACTCCACGGCACTCTACCGAGAGGGACATAGTGAAACTCTATCTCAAAAAAAAAAAAAATGTGGGAAATAGTAGCATACTGAGTGTGTACATATAGTTTATGCCTTTCCAAACCTGCCAGTCTTTGGGACTTTGAAAAGTGGTATCCCAGCAGCCATAGTTATTACAGTACCCCAGCCCACAACTATCTTTTAAGAAGTTTTATGTTCACAGTGAAAGGAATGTTGGTTTTGAAATTATGCATTTATATTTATGTTACTATAAACCAGTGAGAATAGTAATTTTTTTAAAAACTTGATAAATACTGGAAGACTAAACTACTAAATTTATAAATTATATATAGCAATGTAGCTATTCTCTCTAGATAGTGTCTCAAAATGGATTTCTTTTGCTTGACTGTTAGTAAACATTTGAACTAAGGTAGTGACTGGCATTGGTGATCTGATTGAGTATTTTGAAACACAGTTTGAATAATATGGTTTAGTGTTAATGGGGAAATAAAATATGATTTTTTTCCTTACTCATTCCATCTTCCTTGTACTGTGTGTTGGAATTGATCATAAAAATAGCTCCAAAAAAGAAAATATCACTTTGTATTCTTCTTTGTATTCATATGATATGTCATTAATATTCATTACACTATGAAGTTGACTCACTATGTTAAGTATAACCTAAATGACACAGTTCCTGTTTTTCCTGAATACTGTTTATAGAATTTTTTAAATGTACATGTAGGTACATAAATGGCATTTTACAAATTAATGAGCTTGGCAAACTATTGATTTATAAAAGTAAATATTCTAAGAAGAAAAGAAGTGGAAAATTAACAGTTCTGTGTCAGAGGGAAGTTAGGTTGTACTTTTTTCTTTGAATTATCCTATATAGGTCTAGAAGTCAAAATTAGATTTTTCTTTCCACAAGATGATATAGTCAACTCACTTTTTTTCTCCTATCTGGGAAAATAGTTAGCTTTGAATCATTTATGCTTCCATAAGTAACATAGAGTTTTGTGTGTGTACATTTTCTTTTCTCTGACTTAAGGTGTGTTAAATTTGCATTTCTTTTTTTTTTTTTCCTTTGAGACAGAGCCTCAAGCTATTACCCTGGGTAGAGTGCCACAGCATCACAGTTCACAGCAACCTCTAACTCCTGGGCTTACGTGATATTCTTGCCTCAACCTCCCAAGTAGCTGGGACTACAGGCAGTCACCACAACGCCCAGTTGTTTTTTGGTTGTAGTTATTGTTTGGCAGGCCTGGGCTGGATTCAAACCCTCCAGGTCTGGCGTATGTGGCTGACGCCTTAGCTGCTTGAGCTATATGCGCAGAGCCAAAATTTGCATTTTTAAAAGAGTTTCTTAGTTAAATTCTTAATAACTTAATGCCTTTTTCTATCAGAATAAAATTAGAAATTCTTGATTACATTGTTGGGTAAGGACAATGTTGTAAACACAGTTACTAATTGATATCACATTCATTTTAATACATGTAGAAAAACTATTTTCCATGGATATTTTGCTATACTTTCTATATGATACCATTTTGCTTCCAAGGTTCCTATAATTTTATTTGAGAATTTATATTCTAAATTTGCTGTACTTATATTTCGTGAATATTTCTTGAACACACTGAAGGTTTCTCTATAAAGAAACCTTTACGGGCGGCGCTGTGGCTCAGTGAGTTGGGCGCCGGCCCATATACCCTGGGTGGCCGGTTCAAACCCAGCCGCGGCCAAACTGCAACAAAAAAATAGCCAGGCGTCGTGGTGGGCGCCTGTGGTCCCAGCTACTTGGGAGGCTGAGGCAAGAGAATCGCCTAAGCCCAGAGGTTGCTGTGAGCTGTGACTTCACGGAACTCTAATAAAGGCAACAGAGTGAGACTCTTGTCTCTTTAAAAAAAAAAAAAAAGAAGAAAGAAACCTTTATAAAGAACTACTGTGGGCTCGGTGCCTGTGGTGCAATCGGCTAAGGCGCCAGCCACATACACCTAAGGTGGCGGGTTCGAATCCCCAGCCCGGGCCCGCCAAACAACAATGATGGCTGCAACCAAAAAAATGGCCGGGCATTGTGGTGGGTGCCTGTAGTCCCAGCTACTTGGGAGGCTGAGGCAGGAGACTCACTTGAGCCCAGGAGTTGGAGGTTGCTGTGAGCTGTGATGTGTGATGCCATGGCACTCTACCCAGGGGGATAGCTTGAGGCTCTTGTCTCCAAAAAAAAAAAAAAAAACTTTGTAGTTGTAAGTTCTTCCATGCTATGCAAATGTTTTATTAAAAGTAGTCGATTTTCTTTTTTTGAAGCAGCAAATCATTAAGAGACAGTACAGATGTATTTGTGTAACACATTTAGCAGTTTTTTTGAGATGCTCAAAATATTCAAATCTGTTTCTTGAAAAAATACACATTGTTAGTGTAGACTACACTACTGAACTGGGAAACTACCCCGTGAATCTCCTAGAGAGTTTGATTACTTATCTAACAGGTTTAATGAGGAGCCTCACTCTTCATTTGTGTGATTTCTCTGTTTTTTTGTTTTTGTTTTTGTTTTTTTTTTGAAACAGAGTCTCATTCTATTGCCTTGGGGTGGAGTGCCATGACGTCACCATAGCTCACAGCAGTATCCAACTCATGGGCTCAGGGATCCTCTTTCCTCAGCAGCCTCTGGAGTAGCTGCACGTACAGGACCCTCCGCGACGCCCAGCTAGTTTTTCTATTTTAGTAGACAAGGGGGTTTCACTCTTGCTCAGATGGTCTCAAACTCCTAAACTCAAGCAATCCACCCACCTCAGCCACCCAGAGGGCCAGGATTATAGCATGAACCACTGTGCCTGGCTTGCTATTTCTTTTTATAGAACACAAAGCTTCATGTCTGGTGCAGCTACCTAATGTAATTAACAAAATACTAAATTTTCATATTAACCTAATATCCAAAAGAGAAATACTTGGACATCCTGAACTTAACATCTATGAAGATAGTATGTCAATTGAGTGATATTGATTCTAGGGTTAATTATGATACCAACGTTGGAAACTGGTAAGCTATTCATTTTCTAATGATTCCTGCCATAAACTTTTTATAATTCCAGAAGTAGTGTATTTATCACTGTTTTTTGTGGACCTCATGAGAGCCACCTGTATTTTGTATAATTGTAGTTTAACATTTTATAAAACATGCAGATCTCAGGCCGGGTGAAGTAGCTCACACCTGTAATCCTCACACTTTAGGAGGCAGAGGTGAGTTCACCTGAGCTCATGAGTTCGAGACCAGCCTGAGCTAGAGTGAGAACATATCTCCAAAAAATAGCTGAGTGTTGTGGCGGGCGCTTGTAGTCCCAGCTACTCAGGAGGCTGACGCAAGAGCATCTCTTTTGTTGTTGTTGTTGTTGTTATTGCAGTTTGGCTGGGGCCAGGTTTGAATCTGCCACCGTTGGTATATGGGGCTGGCGCCCTACCCACTGAGCCACAGGCACCTCCCGGCAATGGTTTCTTTTTTTTTTTTTTTTGAGATAGGAGCCTCAAGCTGTCCCCCTGGATAGAGTGCTCTGGCATCACAGCTCACAGCAACCTCCAACTCCTGGGCTCAAG